ATGACGTCTGGTTCGCTGGCTCTGCAGTGAAAAGGAGGAAACAGCTGCGGAAGGTGAAGATTAGATTCCTGACAGACGGGGCCTGTTCTCGCGTGCAGCTCGGCTCTGCTCCTCTCAGGCCGGTGGCTCTACGTCGGCTCCGGGCTGCTGCCACCGCCAACAACCTCCCTCATAACTCACCTCTGCACAGCACAGAAAGCACAAAAAAAAAAAGAAAAAAAAAAGAAAAAGCGCTGAACACTAGCCCTGTCCAGATGATCTACTGATTGTTTCCACACACCGCCTTGCGGACTTTAAAATGTGTAGCGTGAGGCTTGGCAGCACAGGCCAAGCTGGCAGGTCGGTTTCCTGGATAATTTATCCATGTGACATATGGTTTAAAGGCAGCGATTAAGCCTTTGTGAGGAATCGCTAAAAGGTTTTGAGGGGGGAAAAAAAAGCTTATTTACTACAAGAATGGTCATTTGGAGCGAATTTAGACACAGAGACTGTGAATGTCTGCATAAGGTGGCGATGAGGTTGAAATCATAGTCTTTGCTGTGATCAAGCTGTGCTAATGTGCAAGGACTAGCTCTCATTCTCTGTTTACCATTTGACACCAATTAGCCAGCTGGCAACACTGGGATTCAATCTACTATGCAGTGCCTTTCCATGTAACAACTACAGGCCTGTATGTATTTTATTTGTTATTTTTGGAACAGTACTGAAGAAGATTACATGTGTTCATTTTTTTTTTTCTTTAACAAATGAAACACAACGGGATGCTGGATGAATGACTGTGCCCAACCACCGGGCTTAGCAGGTTTTCTGGGGGAAACATTGGAAAAGAAAAAAAAAACACTACATGAATGTATGTTTGTGTTTACAGAACAACGGCAGCATCATGCTGTGAGGATGCTGGTTAGAGCTGATGGGAAGAAACATGGAAGGAAAATAATCCCAGAAAAATCCCTAATGAAGTCTGCCGAAGGCTGAGACAGAAGTTCCTCCTCACAATTATGCACTGCTTTGTGAAGGACAATCACATCCAGTCCAAGTAATTATGTCAATGTTTGCGGTGGAAAAAGTCCTCGGGATACAAATACTTAGGCAAGGTGTCGTTCTTAAACAAAAAGTGTATGTTTGCATGTCTCAGTGTCCTCCATGTATTCGTCCATGTATTCGTCCATGTGTACACGACGGACTAGTGCGTCTGAAATTTGGTCATGTGACGTGCCACGCTCCCGGTTTTACCCTGGACTCGTGCTATTTTGGTTCAGAGATTTTAGATAAAGGCATGCCGCTCTCAAGCTCGCACTGCAATTGCGGAGCTTTCTGCTCCTGCAGGAGACGAGGCCTCACTGGGTTCACTGTAATGGGCGCCGTGTGACATAATGGAACCGTCCTGTTTGTCTGCTGCTAGAAGCACGGGGTCTTTTTTTTTTTTTATCAGGAGATGAAAGAGCAAACTAGTGGTGGTCTTAATCCTGAACCTGGAACCATCTGCTCCAGGATGCATATTTAAAACGCCAAACCCAACCAGACAAAGAATAATGATCCTACGAGGAGCAAATGCTTGCTAGCTAGTGTGGCTCCTATGGGCGATTAAACGAAGGATCCATTCATTTTTTATAAAGACTTGTACAACAAACCATTTGTTTATGCAAAGTCACACCAAGGAGCGCATGTTTTTTTTTAAAGACAGTCCCACCTGGAACCAAAGCATGAAAACAACATATGCTTCCTTCAGCCTCGTCCGCTGAACTGAGTGAGAGAGAGCACAGAAGCACTCAGGAGCAGCAGAGGCTTTTTCTGGGTTTTACTGTTTCGGTGATCGTCTTGGTGGGACGAATCCCGAACATGTTGCATTTCAGCTTCCCTGGTGCCAGGAATCCCAAACAGCAGTTTCACTTCTCCTGAATACAGATGTAACAGATAGAAGCTGAGACATTTCCAGAATCCCTTTAGGCTACGCAGCAGACGTAGAGTAGAGCAGGACGTGGATTTCATTGATAAACTGTCGGGTTTTCTCTGCATGCAGAAATATATAGGAGTGAGATAATTCAGACCGATGGCTTCACTCGCTTAGCATCCCGCCACATTGCTGAACTCCACATTACTCAGGTGGAGGAGTGTGCAAAGGCCCAGCAACTGTGTGATCCACATTCACAATGTAAAAGGAGTTTCAAATGTAGTTTGACCCCAGTTATGGTTTATAATCTGGGTGGTAGACCAGGCTGTTCTTCCGTTAAGGGGTGGAACTTAATTAACTTGTTTTTTTTTTTTGTTCAATCAAGTTTTCTACAACTTATTTGCATCTCCAGTCCATAGAAATTTGACTCGGTTCTCCCCATGTGTTCTGCACAGTGCATGAAAATATATATTGGTGGGAGTTGATGACACCTGGCTAGCTATGGTGCTAAGCTAGATGCTTACTTTAATAAGCATTTAGCTTATTAAAGTAATAAGTAATGATCTCAAGATCAAATTCTAAAAACAATAAAATAAAATAAAAAATTTTGAACTGGAATATTTACACTAAACCAGTGGTTCTTAACCTGGGTTCGATCGAACCCCAGGGGTTCGATGAGTCGGTCTCAGGGGTTCAGCGAAGCCTCTGCCGCGGAGGTAAAGACACACTGTGTAAAGTCGTGATGACGCCCCGCTTCGCCATCACTTGCTGCAGAGGATCACGTTACATTGCTTAGCCAATCAGAGCTGCGGAGGAGCACTGATTGAATGAGCTCCACTCTCAGCATGGATTTGAACTTGTGTCTTTAATTACTTCAGCAAAACTCACCATTTTTACCAAATTCTGTACCTTTCGGTGTACTTCTAAATCTGCTCCTTAGTCGCATCTTTTCGGGGTTGGTACTGCCTCTAGTGGCGTGGGGGTGGTAACACAACTAATATAATTACATTACTAAATCAGAATACCGCAAAGTCTTTATTATTTATTATGAATTTTTCATTCTCTTAAGAATGTAGAGCTAATTAAATGACCTAAACAAGATCTTAAAGTGGTTCCAGTTTCTCTCGATGGCCAACCTGTTGAAACTGTGGCAGATTTTAAATACCTTGGGTCGTTCCTGGACAGTCAGCTCAACTGTGCTGAAAACACTGACTATATTTTGAAGAACTGTTCTCAGAGACTCTACCTTTTAAGAAGACTTAGTGATCATGGGGTGACCCAACTAGACTCTAGTTGAGTCACCCCTATGTCTTGAATTTGGGGGCGCGGGGGATCATATTTTATTTATCACTACAGAAGGGTTCAGTGAATGCGCATGAAACTGGTGGGTTCGGTACCTCAAAAAAGGTTAAGAACCACTGCACTAACATTGAGTATTCAAAACACAGTTTGAGATTGACGACGTCTATATTTTAAAAATAAATATAGAAAAAAAATACAAAAATCCCAAAATATGAACTTGTCAAACTCAGAAAAAGAGTAATCTGAGAACTGATTATTTGAAACACACCTCTAAAAATTGATTCTAATTGCACCTTTCTTCTATCTACAACAAATCTATCTTCTATCTTTCTATCTACAATAACTCTTTGAAGAATTTGAATTAATAAGAGTTACACCATTTAATTTCCCTTTGACATCAATAAAGTATTCTGAATTTAACTGAATTTGAATTGAATTCCCTTCACTGTTGCTAACACTCTTGTAAACACGCTAGAAGAGACGGTGGCGATAATGCCCCTAATATAAACTGGATATATTGAATACTGCAGCAGTTCAGGCTTATATTATCATCTCAATATAAAACATATCGCTCCAGATGTGGCCAATGGAGCGAATCATAGCTACAACAGTCCTGGTACAGGATCAGAGGTCTCTATGACTGCTGAAGTTAATATGTAATCCATATGTTGTTATTGAGACACAAATCCATCGAACACATTTGAATTGAAAAACACGTTACAGCACTATTTGTGCCACTGGTTTAACGATACACGTTAGAAGTGCTAACAAGTAGCTAACGGTGGATTCACAGTTCAGTATTTGCATTTTTCTTTTCTTTTTTTTTCTTCTGTGGAACAAAACTCTAAATTATTTGTGTAAAACATGTTTGCGGACTTTTCCGTGGACCATAATTTTTGTTTGGGAAGCTAAAACAACTCAGCGCTATGCTACTTGACATGCTACTGGCTGGCTTTTGCAAAAGCAGCCAATCCAGGAGCGTCTGTCATTTTCCTTAACACTAAATGGCTGTAACCCCAAAAGCAAAAATAAGCAAGACTGTCCATTTTAGCTTCTGCGGTAATGCTAAGACAGTTTCCACTGTGTGTATTAATGTATATTAAGGTATATTTGGTGTTTGACCTACGGAAACAGGAAGTTATAAGCAAAATAATTGAGGGCATCTCAAGTATTTGTGGACGTTAGTTATTTGCAAGTGGCCGCTAGCTAACCCCTGCTAACACAGCCAAAACTTTCCTTATCTTTTACATGAATAGTAGCCATGTTAACGTTCCAACTTTTTCCAATCGGAACTCCCACTTCATTGGTCGTTTGTGAATTTTTTTATTTTTTTTAACTCAAAGAGAACGAGGGGCGGGCCATCTTACCCAAGGCCGCATTTGGGTCAGGATCGCCCCTGCACCCCAACTTTGACCAAAAACCTCAACTCCTAGGAGGACGCTGTAACTGAACCAAATGACTGGAATAATACGAAGTTACAGGAAAAGAGCTTTTCGCATGTGTCATGGGAAGTTTCCCTGGAAAGCATCCTAGCTCCATAATCTCTCTAGAGATGCACTGATATAAAGGCAATAAAGCTGCTTGTCGTTGCAGATCTGCTGCTGACCGACGGTCAGCCGGTAAAGATGTTCTCCCCTATCGCCACTTCTCTCCCACCTCAGCGGCTCGATCCAGCCCCTCGAACTTGCAGCCACAATGGTCCCAGGGACGCACACAGTTTTTGGGGTGGGAGGGGGGGGGGGTTGAAAAAAAATCTAGACATGCACAGATCGAGTAAAAGAAAAAAAAAGGAGCGGTGCAAACTTACGTGAAGACGAAAAATAAAGTGGTCGATCCCACCAGGAGCGTGGCAGCAGTGGACACCGGGATGTATTTGGTGGGTTTAAATCTCTTTCCAGCGCTGTTGGGCATTCTGTATTCTCCACATTCCTCAATTATTTATTCCGGTCGGAGGCGCATGTAGAAAAAGAAGAAAGCGTCCAGCGTGCAGCGGGGTGCGTGTATATGCGGGGTGCGGGGGAGCCCTTTCTGTGGCTGTGAATGGCACAAGCGGTCCGTCTCTGCTCGGTGGTTGAAGCCGCATAGGTCCAAGACGTTAACAGGCAGCAATACGCGGAGCTCTGCGAGAGCCTGGAAATCCCACCCTTTCCAATCCAGCCCACTGCTGAGGTCACCGAGCCGCTCGAAAAGGTGGAGCTTCGCTTGGAAAAACTGAAAGCGTCAGAACATGTTTGGAGAAATTGTTTTATTGGGTTTTTACACATTTTTTTTTCTCCACCCAGGTCGAAGCTAATATAGTACTGTCTGCTTTTACAGGCAACTATACCCGCCTCCCGCCCACAATTCAATTCATATTGAAATTATTTTTCCATCAAATTTCTTAAAATCTGTTATTTAGCTCAGATCCGTTATTTGGTCTATCCACTAAGACTGTGCCATCTGGATGTTGCTTTTTCCCCGGCCCCATTTTGCAGTTTTACAAACTTTCAATGTTGTCTTCCACTTTTAAATTTTGTGGGTACGCACCACTGGTTTAACGCACCCGGGGCGACGCCGGCAGGCGTGGTCTCTGCATATCATTACCAACGATGCATCAATCGGGAAATTATTAGGATACATCTGGGATCAGAAATATCAAGTTAATACATTTATCCAATAGAATATGTAATTGTTGGTCTCTTTTTGATAACATTTTATCAAACCCTTATTCAAGTTCCCACAAAATATCATATAATCCCACCAATATTAATAAAAATAAATTAATAAAACAAGGAAACAAAAGATAAATGTTTATTGTGTAAGAATTTTTTCCAGCAATAAAGTTAAAACATTTGCTTGATAAAACTTAGAAAAGTTTTAGAATTTTTTTAATTTCTCACAATTTTTTGTCAAAAACAATATTTTTTTTTTAATTCTGAGTTTAGTCAGACACATTTTTGACTTCTCAAACTTAGAAATGTATTTTGTCAAATACTGTGTTTTTTTAAAAAGCGTAAGTGTTTTTGAGAACATTTTTAGACTTTTGAAACTAAAATTTTTATTTGTCAAAAATTATTTTTAAAAGGTTTCAGTTTTTTAGCAAACTTTTTTTTGATTTTTCAAACTTAAAAACTTTTTGAACAAAATATAATTTTTTTTCTAATAAATTTGTCTGTTTTTTTTAGCAGATTTTTGCTATTTTACACTTTTCTTTCTTCAAACATTTCTGAGTTTTGTCGAGAAGATTTTGTTCTTATAAAGCTGAACATTTATTTGTCAAAGAAATATTTTTTAACAAGCAAATTTTTGACTTCTCAAACTGAAATTCTTCTTATCGAAGAAAATATTTTTTCTAATAGACACCTGAATTTTGTCGAGCAAATTTTCAACTTCTAAAATATACAATTTTTGGGCTCAAAACAATATTTTTCAAAAGAAGATATTTCTAAGTTTTAGTAATCAAAAACCTCAAAACTTTTTGTAAAAAAAAAAAAAAAAAAAAAAAAAAACCTACATTTTTGTTTGAT